AAAAAAAAAAAAAATGAACAACGGCATATTTGCTATTGAAACTCTTATCAAGATATGTTACATATTAGGAAGAGAAAACTGAATTAGCACTTAAACTTTCTCAGCTGTGAGCCATCTTTTCCAATATAGGGATGATTTGGTCAAACATTGGCCTTCTACCAGGATCTTCATTCAAGCAAATGTTCATCAGCCGACCCATATTTCTTGAAATACCAGGCGGGAATGGCACTCGGAGTCCTTCTAGTGCAACCTAACAAAACAAGTTATATTTCTTTAGAAAAAAAAAAACAAAAAACGAAACTACGGTAAATTTTTAGCTAAAATTCTCTGAGAAATAAAACGAAGCTAATAATGATTTTTCAACTAACTTTCATGCCAATTTCCATTGGTGATAGTTCTGAGAAAGGAACCTCCCTCGTGTTCAACTCCCAAAGTAATATGCCGAAACTCCACATATCAGCAGCTCTGATATTGAGTTTGTCTGGAGCAGTCTGCAGAGCTAAAATAAACGAAAATTAAAAAAAATATTTTGCTAAAAATCTGAAACCCAAGTACTAGAGATATACTGCTGATACCGCACCGAAAGTGAGAATATAATTTAAATTACATTAATATTACAGAATAAATTTGAGGAACGAAACCAAGAGTACCTTCAGGAGACATCCAAGCAGGAGAAAACAGTCTACCACGCTCTTGAAAGCTAAATTTCGTGTCAGCCATAGAAATCTTAGCTTGCAAGTCTTCGTCAACCACAACGTGCTTAGAACTTAAATAATAACGCAAAATCATTGGATCTAATGAATGAAGGAACGACATCCCTCTAGCAATATCCATTGCAAAATTAATGGCTTGTTCCTGGTCAATCACTATGGCTGAAAAACGATACAAATGAGCTATGAATCCCAATGATGTCAAACGAAAGATCAAAAGCTTACCGGTTTGCTCATGGAGCACATTATATAAGGAGCCAAACGCCATCAACTGACTTATAACAATTAAATTTGGAGGCTGATTGCAGCAAGCAAGAACAGGACAGATATTAGCGTGAGCGAAGATTCTACAAGGTCAAAAATAAGCAGAGAAATGTAGAGGACAAAAAAAATTTTCAAAACAGACACGAGGAAAAAAGAGAACCTTCCCAAAATTTATATCAGTCTTAAATTCCTGACGAAACAACACATCCTTCTAAAAGGAAAAACTGCGCAATGCACTTGTTACAATTAACTGAAGGCTTACCTAAGAGCTGGGAATTCTGTCTGAAAGTCTCTGCTAATCCTGGGCGTGACTTCATGTACAGCCAAAATCCTAGCAACAATGTCATTACCTTGCCATTTACCTTTCCATAGTTCTCCGCTATGTGACTCAGCAATCTTGATTGATAAGCTAAGAGAAGAAACGTCAACCCCAGTGTACCTGAAGCAATAGATGCTTATTATTTCCATTACTGAGTTTGAACTAGAAAGAAAAAAAATGGAATTACCTGGACAGGGTGGCGTCACGCGTTCTGCTTTTCGTTCCTTTCCAAGCCTCGTTTTTGAATGGTATTCTCTCGTTTTCATTTTGCCCATTCTCGCGCGCTATTTCTAGAAATCAGAACCGTTCCTTAGAAGTGTACTGCCTTAATCTCAAAGAGTAGTTACTTAAATTTGAGATCAGTTCAAAACCATCTTTCCCCTCTAAGACTTTAAGATTTCCTCTTAAAATGCGTGATGTAGTATGTAAAAGAGAACTGATCAGACCTATAATAGCTTTACGGGCCTGAGGCTGGCATACATCTAAAGGAGTTTGCCCTTTTTTGTTGCATGCACCAATATGAGCACCACATCGTATTAGATCCTTGAAAGATTTGAAATTTGTATAAATTAAAAGCATTCAAGGTACTTCCAAAAAAGCAAAGAAGAAACTATCTATAGATGCAAAAAGCATGATACCAATTATGACTTACCTCGCCTATCTGTACATACCCCCAGAAGCATGCATAATGTAGTGGTGTCATCCCGTGCTCGTTCGTCGCATAAACATCAGCTTTCCTATTCAGTAATTTCTGAAACAAAGATAAAGTACTAGCAATGAATATAATCTGTTTTATTTAACGAGTTACTGATCTACGATATCATTTTAAACTGTTAACCGCTGCGAGATAAATCGGCAATAAGAAAACCCTCTTCAGCAAAACTTACAACAACAATCTCTCTGTGCCCATGAGCAGCCGCAAGGTGTAAGCTTGTGTCATCGCCCATATTAGTCGCATTTACTCTGGCTCCACGCGACAACAACAAATCTACTATCGCAACATGTCCTTCTTTCGCAGCCCAATGTAATAATGAAAACGCATGGTCATCTCTTAAAGCATAAAAATTCTATTGAAAAAGGTGCCAAACAAATAGTTACAATACGAAAACTTGAACTGCCGTATCACTAGAAATTTATTTAATTCATTCCCGATGTTAGAAGCCTTAACAGACTGCTCTGCCATGTATTTTTCTTTAATACCTCACAGAATTTATAACTTGACAAACAGTGAAAACTAAACTGAAAACCCTTCTACGAAATTACTAAGAACACCTACAAACACTTATCCAATTATTTTTACAAATTTTCTAAACCTCAATTTTTATTCATTTGAAAATTAAATCTACATTAACAAAATAACGAAAACAAATTAAGAGCAAAAATTTAAAAGAAAAAAAAAAAAGCGAGTGGAATTCAAACGACATTAAAATGATGAAAATGACTCTACTACTTCATTATTCAGCAATAACAGTAATAATGTAACCAGCTTTCATCTTCAAAATAAACATACCCAACATTTAAATCATGTTCCGTGTCGTCTAACCATACCCGAACTTGGAAAGCATTCCCTTCACGTACCCATCCAAAAACATCTTCCATAATAATGGGCACATTTGGCTTGTGCGCATGATAATGAGTAGAAAGCGACATATTCGTTCAAATCGCTTGGCTCTTCAGGCCAAGATGGAATGAATAATATACTTCTCGACCAAGCTCAAGGAGAATATTAATGAGGAAGCGCAGAATTCAGTAGATCGCGCCTGTAAAGCGCCCTACGAACATAAGTAACTCCTACGTTTCCTGCGAAAAAAGAATTTTTTCATGTAATTCTACAAAAGTTCCACGCCGTTAACAGTGTGAGCCGTCATATTTGAGTCCAAAATTTGTCAACCAATTCAGATTAGAATAAAGAAGATCAGCAAAAAAAATTCATTGGGATATACTCCGACAACCAAACCAATGCATTAAAGGAAAAAAAAATAAGAGGAAAAAATGATACTAAACAGCGAGTTAATCAGAAAAAGTTTACCAACATTTTGAGAATGCAAAACTTAATGTTCAGTTAGGAACAGAAGACAATATTAAATTTTCCAACATACTCTTCCAGGTAAAATTACCAGTAAACGAATGTTTACCATAAGACCTGAATAAACCTTTAGAAAAAAGAATATATATATATATAAATAAAGAATATATATACTCTCTTTTAAATGCGATATCACTCAAAGACGCGTTCAAATAACTTTCAAAATACCAAAAAAAATTTTTTTTGGCCAAATTATTAGAAAAGAAGAAGAAAAGGAAAGATGACTAAGTCAACTTTACCTGGAAATTACACTTTCCATCAAATCGATCATTTCAAAGAGTTTTCGTTGGACAATTCTCTTTTTTTCTGTCTATGCTCTAAATGATAGTATCTACAATTCTAACAATTCCATTAGAAACACCACAACTACAACAGGCAACTAGAAGACGGGCTGGCTGTAAGAAGTAATGTTGATCAGGAAAGCCTTCCATTTGATAAACATGTTTTTAAAATAACCAAGAAAAAATATCTTATTCAT